ATTTCTGACCCGGACAATTTTAGGGGTCTACACTCCTCTGTGCTGGTATCAAAAATGGTGAGTCGGTAATCGCAAGGCTAGAGTTAGGTTATAAACTATTGAGGAGGTGAAGTTGATTAAAGAAAAGATGAGGTTTGCCTAGAGTAGGCAGAAATCATAAGTTGATAGAAGGCAAAGGCCTTTGGAGTTTTCTGGGAGGGGGATGTGTTTCATGTTTCTCAGTTGAGGAAGTATGTCCATGACCCGAGTCATGTAGTTGAGATGGGTGATATTCAGGTCAAGGAGAACCTGACTTATGAGAAGAGACCGGTAATTGTGATTGATTACATGTTGAAGAAGTTGAGTGGTAAGTCCACTGGATTGGTTAAGATCTTGTGGGATGCAATTACTGGTGAGACTACTTGGGAGATTGAGTAACTCTGTAGAGAACAATATCCTTCTTTATTTTCAAGTAAGTCTATTTTTGGGGACGAAAATTCTTATTTGTTGGGGGGTATTATAACGTAGTAAATTCTTTTAGAAGGCTCAGTATGGGTGATTCAGTAGTCCAGAACGGGTCGTTCCCAAACTGGAACGAGCCGTTCCAAACTACTGAATTGGCCTATAAAACATAGTTGAGAACGGGCTGTTCTGAAGGGAGAACGAGCCGTTCCAAACACCAGAACGGGTAGTTCCGGAGGGAGTACGGGCCGTTCTGGATGAGTCCCAGAACGGGCCATTCTGATTTCAGAACGGGCCGTTCTGCATGTAAATTTTTTACTTGGTGAAGGAGTGCAGAACGGGGCGTTCCAGATTCGGAACAGGCCATTCTGGCCACTCCTGAATGTCTATAAATAGAGTTGAGTGGTTGAAGAGAAATGGAGGATTTTAGAGAGAAGTTTTAGAGAGAGGAACTCTGGACTGAGAAGCTTGCCTTGGGTGGATTGAAGTTCCGGGTTGAGCTTCGGAAAGGGAATTCCACTTCTTGGCTATTCTGAGCCAATCTTCAGGTAAGGAAAGCTAGATTGTAAAGTTGTTAGTTGTATGTGAGTTGGGAATTCTTTTGGGTACTTAGGTTGATTAGTATGAGTTGTGTTATGCTCAACTTCTTCAACATGTAATCAATCACAATTACCGGTCTCTTCTCATAAGTCAGGTTCTCCTTGACCTGAATATCACCCATCTCAACTACATGACTCGGGTCATGGACATACTTCCTCAACTGAGAAACATGAAACACATGCCCCTCCCAGAAAACTCCAAAGGCCTTTGCCTTCTATCAACTTATGATTTCTGCCTACTCTAGGCAAACCTCATCTTTTCTTTAATCAACTTCACCTCCTCAATAGTTTATAACCTAACTCTAGCCTTGCGATTACCGACTCACCATTTTTGATACCAGCACAGAGGAGTGTAGACCCCTAAAATTGTCCGGGTCAGAAATAAGACTCAAAGACTCTCGACGACCGAAGGAAAGTCAGCCGGAAGGACTCCTGGAAGACCCTAGGATGATTCTTTGTAGGTCTAGAAGTCTTAGAGTAGCTTAGAATAAGGGTGTGTGAGGATTGGAGCTCAATACGCCCTCCTAGAGGTTCAGTACGGCCGTACTGAGCCATTTGAACTACAATACGGCCATAATGAAATCAATACGGCCGTACTGAAGTTTTTGAACTTCAGTACGGCCGTACTGAATTCAGTACGCCCGTACTGTAGTTCAAAAACTCAGTACGGGCCGTATTGACTCCTTAGGCCGTACTGCGCCTCAATCCTATAAATAGGACGTCATTGGCTATGATGGCCATGATCAATGGCTTAAGGGAGGAAAATGCGCGGTCTAGGGAGAGAGAGGAGGCCATTCAGCGCGAGAATGAAGAGATCAGGAGGAGAGCGGACGAGATGCAAGCCAGAATAGCGGCCAGTACCAGGACTGTGGAGGAGGACGTCATGCTGGAGGTCCCTAGAGACTTTCGACCATTCTCGGAAGCCATAGAGGCCGAGATGATCCCTAGGGATCATCGGATACCACAGGTTGAGCCTTTTGATGGAACGCAGGACCCCAATCAGCATTTGACGGACTTCTGAGCTCAAATGTTGATCTGTGGTGGGAGCATGGAGGTTCGCTGCAAATTGTTCATGGGCACACTCAAGAAGGCGGCGCTTGACTAGTTCAGCGGTCTTCCTGATCGATCGATCACCGACTTTGATGTTTTTAGCCGACTCTTCATGGCGCAGTTCGCCGCTAACAAAAAGAAGCCGCCGATCACGTCGAATTTGTTTGACCTCAAGCAACAACATGAGGAGTCGCTGAAAGATTTTCTGCAAAGGTTTAATGAGGTCGCCTTGAGGATAGCATCGCTGGATGAAAGGATGGCGGTCATCGCATTCCAGAAGGGTTTAAGGTCCGGGGCTTTCGATATCGCGCTTGAAAAAGCAAATTGTCAAACGATGTCGGAGGTGCGGGCTTTCGCCTTGAGTCACATCAAGACGGAGGAGAACCAGATTATTAAAAGGGCAGCGGAGAACCGAGAAGCAAGGGGGAGCAACAAGGAGGTTAACAAGCATCTCCGACTGCGATCGGATTGGAGCAAGCGACGCGATCGTTATAACACGAAGGAAGGCAACTACCAGCAGGCCGATCACATTGGTCGACCGAGAGGCGAGTGGGCACGTAACAAGGAAGAAGAGAAGTTTACTCCACTCAACGTTCCCAGGCGGCACATACTGCATGACATCAACAGCGCGTCACTTTTCGAATTCCCAGCGGCAACCGACCGCTAGTTGGGACCTTAGGCCGCGTCCTCGTTGTCATCCGTGGTAGCCTCCTCTGTGAGATTACTACCGTTGGACATATTGTCTGAGGTGCCCTCCTTGGATGAGTTCCTCAATGCGGTCTCTGAGCGTACGGTATTCCTCGATTGTGTGACCATAGTTTCTATGGTATCAGCAATGCTTGGATTTGTCCGCACTGTTGGGACTGTGTCCGGGTGGTGGCAGAGTGAGCAGGTTGGCATTGCTGGCCTCTTCCAGGATGTGTACTCGGGGCGCATTCAAGAGGGTGTAGAAGTCATACCTCCCTCCTTTGTTTTCCCTAGAAGCCTTCTTGAATTGGCTGTCATTGGTGACCTTCATCTTGTCTTTGTAGCCGTGGTCTGGCTTCGCCTGAGATTTTCCACGAACTTGGTCGCAGAAAGTAGAGTGCTCTTCAATATGAATATACCCTGTAGCTTGGGCACGGAGTTCGTCCATGTCTGGTGGAGGTCGCCGACACAGGCTGTCAACGAAGGGTCCTAGTTTGAGTGCCATGAGCATGGCGTGTAGGGCGACCTCGAGGTTTAGGTTTTGGATTTTGACCGAGATGCTAGCAAAGCGTTCCATGAACGTCCTTAGTGGCTCATCATCGCCTTGCCTGAGGCTGGCCAGGGCGGCGGATGTGATGTGATGAGGTTGACTTGTTGCATACTGCACCGTGAATCGCCTTACTAGAGTGTCAAAGCTATCGACCAACCATGGCGGCAACTGAGTGTACCAAGCGAGTGCTGCCCCCTTGAGTGAGGTCGGAAAAACCCTACACATAATAGCATCCTCGTTAGTGTACAAATTTACCTGTGTGACGTATAGGTCGATGTGCTCATCTAGGTCAGTAGTGTCATCGTAACGGTCGATGTTGAGAGGCTTCCACCCAAAGGGAAGGGGTGTCTCCATGATGCCGTCAACAAAAGGATGGCGGCGGATGTTCACCCTATGTCCTAGGGTAGGTGCATTGCTGACTTCATGGTCTGACCTATTCGTCGGTGCATGTGACCAATGAATAGTAGACCTATGGGTCGCCGCCCGGGGTGCAGTCGGTGGCTGGGAGGCCGAGTGCCCCTCTTCCTCGTTTTGATTACTCGGTTGAGGGGGTTGATCAGAAGGGCGCCGAGGAAGCTGTGCGCGAATGCGCTCATTCTCAGCGCGCAGTACCGCTAGGTCGGCTTCGTGCCTGGCACGGATGTTCTCCAGGTCGACGACGTGTTGTTGCCGCATTTGATCGACTTGCTCGATCAACCTCCTCAATGTTGCTTCACCTTTCATTCTTGTTGCGCGATCTAGGTCGTCTGTTGCTCGTCTACTATGGCTTTGGGTGAAAACCATAAGCGTGGCCGATAAGAGATGTCTCGATCGGCCCCACAGTGGGCGCCAAATGTTCTTACCGGAGATCAATCGTAGGGGACGATCTGCTGGGCAAGATTGGTGAGCCTCCTTCGCTGGGTACGCTTGCTGTTCCGAAGTGGGGGTGGTACCTACAAAAGAGACTCTGATGCTAAAGTTAGTTTTTGTGTGTGTATGGGTCCCGTATAAGTAATGCACGTACCTTAGTGTGAATTAGGGTTTATCTAGGCCTTGGGCCTGAGATCAGTTGTGACTTGTTCAGATAATGGGCCTTTGTCTTGGCCGATGTTGCGTGGCGCATGTCCGATGTCAACCTGCGTTGTGATGCCGAGCTTGAACTCGGCTTCGCGGTACGGATAGTACACCTTGATTTTTTATTTTTTATTTTGCTCTGAGACATCTAATAGAAGAAAAGCTCTTTTTTCATATAATTAATAATAAAAAATATTTCAAAAACAACAAAAATTTTCCCACACATAACCATCTAATACAACAAATCAAATGTGACTGCCCCGTTTTGGCCCGACCCGCCAAAAACTAGCCCAGCTAGGCTATCATTGAAAAGCGAGCTAGAAATGTTGGCTCGTCCTACCTAAATGCAAGCTGGTGGGCCGGTGGACCAGCCCGCATTATATTAAAAAAAATACCAAATAAAAAATAAAAAATTTACCAACAAGTTGGTGGGCTTTGCGAGTTGGAATGATGAGTTCAGCCCGCCAAATTTTGGCGGACCACGGCCCATTTTGCCACCCCTAGACTTCATTACAAATCCTTATAAATAGAAATCAAATTACTAAATAAAGAAACACAAAAAACACTGGATTAAAGAATAAATTGAATATAAGAAAAAATATAGAGAAAATAAAAAATAAACAAGAAATAAAACACACATAAAAAACCTAGATATATTTAGAAGAAACCATAAATTAAAAGAAATGTATAAACAAAATAGAAAGAAACAAACTAGAATCAAGCAAGCAAGTGTATTAGAGAGCATGTGAGTAGGAACGAGTGCGAGTAGAGCAAGTGTAGAGGAGAGCGAGTACAAGCTCCATGAGAGAAATTTTGAAATTCTTTCTATCCTGGTGGAAATTGAAATCCCTAATTTTAGTTGATTAAAATTCTACTTTAAATTTCTTAAATTTTAAATTTTTTTAATAAAATATCCAAACAAAAAATTTTGTAAAAGAAATTTCAAAATCACTTCTTAAATTACATCTCTCGTTTAAAATACCTTATTCAAACACATCATTAAGTCCATTAAAGTTTAAGTTGATTTTGGCTGAAAACTTCAATTTGTTTTCCTTTTTCATTTTTTTTTTCTCTCTTATAAATAAGTATGGAAATGTTTATTCAAACAACACATAAGTAGGGTCTATGATTTATTATTTTCAGAAAAATTATGTGACCATCAACATGTAACCCTAACAATTCTTTTATAGTTATTTACAACTTCCTCTGAAGAACAATGCCAGTAGGAGTCCTCTAAGAATGTATCATTCAGGTGCCAGGTCAAGATTCTAATTCCATTTTGAGATTTTATTTGAACAGAAGAGCTTCTTTTGGCCTTTCAAGAAGAGATAGGACTGTGGCCGCAATGTCTTTCGATGAAAGCCCTGCTTCTTCAATCTGAGTTTGCGGTGATCCATGATCGATGTACCTATCAGGAAGCATCATTGCTCTCCACTGCAGGTAAAGTTTAAAGGGCTGTCACTTAAAAGTGCACAAAAAAAGGGACACATCTAAAAATGAAATCATAGAGAGAGTGACTTCTCTAATCTCCATTGAGGAAGGTTTACCTTTAGAGGTCCATCTAGGATACCGGATAAGCTCAAGAATTGTGAAACATGTGATCCAAAACCTCCAATGGAACCCTCTTCCACTGTGAGGAGCATTTCATGCTCTTTGGCTAGTAGCCTAATGAGATCAGTATCCAAAGGTTTGCAAAACCTAGCATCAGCAACTGTCACAAAAATGTCTAGTTCTTTAAGCATTTCTGAGGCTTGGAGGCATTGTTGGACTGCAGAACCATATCCCAAAATAGCAACTCTGCTGCCTTCTGTCAGAATTCTTCCCTTCCCTATCTGCATAACCAAAACAATTTCTATTTAGTGGCTTAACTATTGAGCATTGAGTTCATGAAATATTTGTTAGTTACTCATTCTGACCTCAAGTGGGGTTCCTTTGTTATTGAATGGAAGAGTAGCTCCAATTCCATTTCCCCTTGGAAATCTAAAGCAACTTGGTCTGTCATCGATAGCTGCTGCGGTTGCAACCATGTGCATGAGTTCAGCTTCATCAGAGGGAGCCATGACCACCATGTTGGGGAGGCAAGCCATGTAAGTGATGTCAAATGCACCACAATGCGTTGGTCCATCAGCTCCAACCAAACCAGCTCTATCCATAGCAAATCGAACAGGTAGCTTTTGAAGATCAACATCATGGACCACCTTCATACCCAAAATAAATCATAGTGATGAGAATGTTTTATTTTATCACAGATAATTAATTACACAGATAACAAATCACTAATTAGTTAGTTTGGACTATTTTCATTTGAAGATATTGGCCGACCTGATCATATCCACGTTGCAGGAATGATGAATAAATGGCACAAAATGGCTTGAGACCTTCAGCAGCTAAACCAGCTGCAAATGTGACAGCATGTTGTTCAGCTATCCCCACATCAAAACATCGTTCGGGAAACCTTTTCTGGAAATAATTGAGGCCAGTACCACCACCCATTGCTGCGTGAATAGCCACTATCTTGTTGTCTATTTCAGCTTCCTTTATCAAAGACTCAGCAAAGTATTGTGTGTATGAAAGTGTAGGGGATTTTGCCTTAAATTGGTGGCCTGTTTTTGGATCAAACTTCACGACACCTAAAAATATGAGAAAGTAGTAGTGTGTGTTTAGATTCAGGTTAGATTATCCAAAATAATGTTGGTATTTCAGGTAGTTATACACATGTTTGTGTTAGGATACAAAGACGTCTCACATTATTAAAATAAGAGAAGAATTAAGAGTTTATAAAGCACATGTATATCCCATTGGTTTGAGATCTTTTATATGATGACCAAAAATAAAATTATGAAAATTTAATTCTAAAATAAATTATATCTTACCAATGTGAAAATATGTATGCAAATACTGTAAATACTCCTAATAAACATCAATATATAATACCCCTCTTGTTAAATATACACCCCAAAAACAAACTCCAAAGCAACCTATAAATATACACCCCACAAACACCCTAAGAATTTGGTCTCATGTTGAGAAATTAATTGAATTGAAACATCTGTGTTAAATAAAAGCTTCTAAAACGAATCTTACTACTAACACACATTTTGAATAAAAATATCCATACAAAAATGAGTTTACATCAAAATCAATTTTGTAAAACTTATTTCATTCAAATTAAATTTTGAATTGCTCATCATGACTTTGTTGAGACATGAAAGAAATATCCCTTCCTCACCATGCATTTTATCATCTGCTATTTCTGCTGGGGGGTATCCCTTTCCTTTTTCTGTCACAATGTGAATCAAAACTGGACCAGGGGCAGGCATTGCTTTGACTTTTTCAAAGATGGTGACCAGATCTTCGATGCTATGACCGTCGACAGGACCTATGTAGTATAAGCCAAGCTCCTCAAAAAATGTAGAACCTTAACCGCTGATCATGCCTCTTGCATACTCATCTACTTTTGCAGCAACTTGGTGTGTTTGTCCTCCTAATTGTTTTGTGATGCTCTTCATTTAGCAGATAAAATTAGAGTCAAATACAAGCTTATGCCAGAAACCATGATGTTAACAACTAATAATAATATAATAAGTTTGAGAGGCTTACCTTTGCAGCTTCTCTAAGTCTGCGGAATTGGGTGCTTGCTTGAATTTTGCTCAAAGCACTACTGAGAGCTCCAACGGGAGTTGCAGGGCCATCAAGTGTGGCAGTTGGTAAAGAGACTTGCTTGTTGTCATTAAGTATAACTATCATGTTAGTATCAAGGAACCCTGCGTTGTTCATTGCCTCGTAAGCTTGTCCTGCTGTCATCGCCCCATCTCCAATCACTGAAACTATGTTGGTGTTCTTTCCCAATAGATCACGTGCAACAGCCATGCCTAACAATATTGATAATTGTTGTTCAATAGGTCAGATATATCATATATACATTTATATTTTTTGTATAGGTAGAAGATATAACTCCATCCTACCATTAGCTCATTTTAAGGATAAAGTGGTACTTAAAGTAGAGATTGAATTCCGATCCTTAATTAATAAATACAAGTGTTGAATCAATTGTTCTAAAAACTTATGTCATACATGCATCTAAAGTTATACATATATTTGATGAAACATGTATTGGTCTTGAAATAGAGTCAAAATGAGCATGGCTCGTGGGCCAACCCGGCCCATCATGAAAACGGGTCGGGCCGGACCAAAATAAATAAAAGTTTTATAGTAAGTGGGTATATTTCAACCTGGCCCACCTGGATTGAACCTATGATGGGTCGGGCAGCCCACCAGTCCACCTTTTCTTTAAAAAAATT